TAAAATTGGTGTGGGAGGCTCAGCTTTCTCCAAACTGGTTGACCTAGATGTGTGAAACAATTCCCATCACCTATTGACTAGCAAGATCAATAACTGCACCTGAAGACATGGAATACATCTAGAGGAGGCCACCTTGAGGAAAGTTACTCTAGAAGTATAACACAGCTCTTTATAAGCCAGACACCTAATCTGCAACGCAGCTTAATATTAAACTGGAATCCAGTAATTCCACAAACTGGAACACGCTGACAGAGTACCCAAGGGTGTGTCCCCTCACTAAACCTAAAATAGAGGTTCTGTCTAAGCATCTATACTCTTTAAAGTGAAATCCTATAAAAGTCATGACTTTTATCTCAGAAGCCTCACGGGTTGGTTGATATAGAGCCAAGATGGATGCTGGGAAATGAAGTTTTAGAGTGAGAAATCCTGTAAGAATTTCTCTCATAGCAGAGGACCATGGATACTGATCAATTTATTCGGAGTAATTCCATCACAAGATATTTGGCTCTGTCATCGTTTAGGATGGCCATATCACATGTAGGAACGTTGTTGAGAGTTATGTTCCTGCAAGCAACTTCACATTTCTGGAACGGAGACAGCTTTGACTACTGAAGGGAAGACATTCTGATCCAAAGACTAGATACATCTGACATTAAGAGGGGGGGGGGACAAACAAACAAACAAAAAACAGTGCAGTCTTCAGGACTGAAGCATCTTCTGCATTGTTAGTGGCCACTGGTACAACCAAAGATCGTGCCCATCGTTTGAAGTTCAATATTGGAAGGCGATTGTATTAGAACATCCCCTTTGGGGGCAGAACAGAGAGGGAATCACCCACTGGCTGGCTCAGAAAGTAAGGCTGAGAATAGCCTCTGAAAGCTTGTTAAGATCTTGGCAGCAAGGTTCTCTGATGAGCACGAAGTCCACTTTTCTGTCTTGTCCCTCAAAAATCTCCAAAAGTTTGCTCCTCAGCCACTCAGTCTCTTCTGTAGAGCGAAATTTCTCCTTCTTGACAGGGCTGTCTTGCCGACCTCTCCTGTGGTCCCCAGATGAGCCAGCAGGAGGTCTCCTGTCCCGGAGGTGAAGGACCTCTGTCTGCGAGACCGGGCGTGCTGGTGTGGATACAGAGGTTGGCTGGCCACTGAAGGAGTGACAATCGGAACTCTTGATTCTGCAATGGGAAACAAAGCAGAAAAGTTGAAATCCTGCCCTGGTTTTGTAAGAGATAGGCTAAGTGATCTTTTCCATCACAGTTTCTCTACCAGAAGTATCAAATCAATTTGTTCATTTTCATAGAGCAGGAGAAACCAGTAGGGTTTATGCACCATTGGGGATATGTCGGAGTAATCTAAGTGGGACGTGGGCTTGCTTGCTAACTGCAACATGTCAGCAGAAAGAGCCTGAGTTACTTCAGGTAGCATAGGGGAAAGGAGTCTTTAAATGACTGCCATGTGAAGGACAAAAAATAAATGCATTGGTAGCAGAAAATTAACTAAGCAGGAGCTGCCCAAAGAACATGATCTAATTGGTCCACAGTCAGTCCTGGGTCAAGGGTTTCTCCGCAACTGAGAGTCCCTCACAAGAAAATGGTTGAAAGTTCTAGCAATCCATGGCCACCACATAGATGGTACAGAACACCCTGTGTTCTCTGCCAAGCTGACCTATGGCTGTCTGAGTATGGAAGCACCCCTGGCCTTTTCTGCTGCTCCCCATGGTGCTGTTGATATCCTGAGCACTGGCTCCATGCTTCTGCCCAGCTGCGAAGTCTACAAGATTGAAGGTTGAACTCAACTGGGCCAAAAGCAAGTGGTGCTCTCTCTAGATGTGCTTCCTGTCCAACAACACTACTCTGCCCCTTCATCTCATTAGCCATGACTGCCAGAAACAGCAGCTTGTTCTTCATGCAGTTGGCTTTTCTTGAGTTGCTGGTTCTTGGCAAAGCAGTTCATGGGATCCAGCCCAGTCTACATTTTCAGGTTCAGTGAAGGAGAAGGTTTTCATAAGACTTATCCTCAATTAACATTTTTCATAAATAATAAATGGAGCAACAGAATGCCAGGGAAGTGGACCTTTCCTTTCTCCCATTATGGAACCTGGGTTTTGGGGAATGAGCAATAGTTGGAATGTGAGATACAAAGGAATGACAACCACTGGTTGTGGTAACTAAAAATTCATGCTCTTCCCAATTCTGGCCACAAGATGGAACTCTGCCACTGTTCATTATTGCAGAGTTCCACAGCCACATGTTCTCCTCCTTGGCTGGATCCTGGAATTCTAGGAATTGTAATTTCAACAGAACTAGAAAAGGGGGAAAGGTGGCCATTGGAAAATGTCTGGCAGTCTCCACAGGTCTTGCCACCCTGCTTTTCCAAATCCATTTCTCACCACCAGGCCATATTCTTTAGAGATAGCTACATCCATCCATCAAGATAGCAACAGAGAGCAGCCCATGGCTAACCCTGCCTGACACTCAGAAGCTAAGCAAAGCTAGGCCTGGGCAATGTTTGGAGGGGGGATGTTCTGTTGCAGAGGGAGTGCTGACTCATGACTGACTCCATACCACATCACCAGACATCCCAAAGTTGCACTCTAGACCGGGAAGTCAAAACTCACCCTTGAAGAAGGAAGTAGCAAGCCACTTCCTTATGGCTGTCAAAGAAACCATATAAACCTAACCATGAGATTACTGGGCATCAAATCAAAGGAAGCTTTAGCTTTAGCCTCAGACAAGTGGCAGACTTGGCACTCACGTGGAGCACCAGCGGGAAACCCCAGGGCTGAAAACTAGACTGCGAAGTTGGAATGGAAACAAAGGTAAGCCACTTCCACATTGTTGTCAAGAAACGTGTATCCCCATGAGGCGCCCAAGAGTTAAGCTTGACTTAGAAAGAAACTACTTTATTTCCATCAATCTACAGGACCTTGTTTTTTTGTTTGTTTTTTTAAATCTAAACCTAACCAGGCCAGAGTAGCTCAAGTGATTTATTGGTTGAAAGTACATCAGAGATAGTCACCTCGTTTTTTTCTTCAGGAAGTCTGCCAAGGTAGGGCCACTTCGCCCTAAGGGGTCATCCGGAACCATAAATATATTCCCCACGAACGTGTACTGCAACAGGCTGCATGACAGAAAACCAGACACCGGGTTCATACATTCTACAAAGCCACAGTCTGTTTAGCAAAGTCAGATGGGTCAGGTCCACAGACTGTGCCAAGCCACAAATGACTCAACAGATTAAGCCACAAAGAAGCAAACCAGCTTGGACTTTCTGCAATAGGCAAATCCAATCAGAGGGTCAAGAAAGATGACCCACAAGACTTTTTTCAAGGAGCCAGCAGAGCCTGTGGCCTCCTGGATGCAGCCTCTTCAGCAGCTACTCAAACAATAAGAACTTCCAATACAGATCCAGGGGTAGCCAATGTTCACAGACTCCTCAGCACCCCAAGATCAAGGCCTAAAATTCAGTAACTGAATTTCAGAAACACAATGTATCCATTTTATGTTCAAAGTTAATGGGGCACTGAGAGTGGTGGTGGGGTCATTCCCACCCAAAAAGGCTTACTGGATTTGGAGCTGGTTTGGCCTCTTTTTCTCCTTGAAATGGAGTAACTGCTCTTATCCCTATCCTTAACACCCACAAACCACTGAAAAACAGACTCCAAAGGGCTATTTCTGGAAAGGGAGAGCTGGGTGTGTCAGGAGAAACATACAAGTTGACTAAAGTGGAAAGGAGGTACTTAAGAAGTGTGAGGGGTAAAACAAGAAGGTCACGAATGACTGGGTGCTGAATGAATGTGGACTGAATACACGTGGTCTTCGATTAACCACCACTCATTCAGCAACAGTTCAAAGTTACAATGGCGCCGAACAAGAGGCACTTGACCGTCCTTGAAGTTCCAGCCATCCCAGCACTCCCACGGTCACATGATTGCAATCTGGGCACTTGGCAACCGGCTCACACTTATGACGGCTGCAGCATCCCAGTCATGTGACCAACATTTGCGACTTTCCCTGCTGGCTTCCCATAAGCAAAGTCAATGGAGAAGCCGGCAGGGAAGGTTGCAAGTCACTCTGGTAAGTCTCCCCCACCTCCCACACCTCCCTCCCACACCTGGCAGCAGCCACTTACCTGCCCGCCAGCCTGCTTGCGAGTCACCTGGAACTTGCAACTTCCTGCCAGCTTCCCTATTGACTTTGGTTGTTGGAAGCCAGCAGGAAGTTGTGAGGAGGTCCTCGCTTAATGGCCCATGATCCTCGCTTAACGACAGCAGTGGGAATTGCCGTCACTAAGCAATGCCATCATGTGATGTCACACTTTACGACTGCATCACTTAGCAATGGAAATTCCGGTCCCAATTACCATTGTTAACTGAGAACTACCTGTACAAAGGTGAGTAACTGGCATGAAAGAAGTACATGGAGTTACTTTGATCAAAGTGAGAAAATTAGTGAGAACTGAATCAGAAGATACAGAAAAATGAAGAGGCTAAGAGGAAGAGAAACACTAAGAACCTCCTGGCTGGATGTG